CAGGGGTGGGCAAGCTCCGGCCTTGTTTGCTAAAAAAAAGTCGTCAGCAAGACATTATGACTAAAAAAGGTGCCACAAATCTTATAAATTTTTCCTCCGGGTCAAAAAAAAATTTGCTATTTAAGTACATATGCGGCCCTTCGAAGGTGAAATAGTTCTCAATGAGGCCCTCACAGCAAAAAGTTTGTCCACCCTTGTACTAAAGGACTGGTCCAGGCAAAGAGCTTTCCATCTACAACAGAAATTTAAAGAGAAATAGCAGAAAAAAATTATGGATATATAACATTAAAATGGCCAATGGCTTTTAAACGAAAACATCAACTTCTGGAAAAAACACATCCATGATTTTGATGTAATGTATCTGGCAGGGGTATGTGTTACCTCTATTGTATCTGAGTGTGGTTCTGTTAGATTCACATCATAAACAAGTTTTGCATGGCCTGCTCTATGTTGTTCTGACAGCCCAACGATAATGATGACAATCGTACAGCCGTTCATAATACTTCAGAACGATCAACTGAGACACTCTCAAATAATAATTCGCGAAAAAGTAGATCGTAGTTTTTAAAAGATTTTTGTCTCTGGTTGGTTAACGTTTTTATATTATAAAATTGAAAAAATATAACAAACATTTTGTAAGCAACGAAGATTTTAGTTTAATAAGAAAATACAAAAAAGGATGGATTAGCAGCACTATCCAAACATGCGTGCATGCATGCACGCATGCGTGGATAAAAAAAAATAGCCAGAGGAAGCGATTATGCAAACCGACACGATACGATACGATACGTACAGCACATGAAATATCGATCGGTGATGGTACTTTGTTGTATCGTCGAACAATCGAATCAAATACATCGTTCATCACTTGCCTTATGCATGCATGCATGCACTGCACATACATACCATCCATCCATCCATCCATTGCATATACATGCCATACATGCATGCATTACATATACATACCGTACATACATGAATTTCATATAAATACCATATAGGCAAAATACATCTACGTGCAATGTTTTATTAATATATTTATGCTTTAAATTATTATAAAGGCAAATTAAAACATATTTCTAGATCATGACCACCATATTATCTACAGTGATTAATTTATTTTTTATAGAAAATTTATAATCAGACAGATCTCACTTTTTTGCTAGCGTAATCTTAAATTCGATGAATTCAAAAGGTATTTATTACGTTATAAGCGACCTGAGTTGTTGCACATATATCTATTTAATTAAATATGCTGACAAGTCGCTTTAAATTCACCAAGCTTGTTGTTTCATTATGATTTGATTGGCAATTGAAAAACAATATCAAATAAAACTCCAGTTTCTGGAACGATAATATCCATTTTATATCTGACAAACGAATATATACCCAACAAAAATGTTTATTTTAATTAAATTTTCTGATTTTCATGCCAGCATTTTTTAAACCACACAAACTCCATCTCTGATAGAGTAAATCTTAATTAGCATAAAATTCTAATTTCTCGAGGTTTATTTTCAGTAAACTTCTGAGACAAGTTTAAAGAAAAAAAAATGCAAAAAATTTTGTCTAAAAATTCATAAATGTTATCTGCTACTAATTATTTTGTCTGTGGTCAAATTTTTGTTTCAAAAATATTTTTCTATTTGATTAGAAGTCATTTTATAATGAGAGTTCCATAAAAGTTCTCTTAGTGGTAATATTAGTAGCAGTAGTTAGTACAGCTAGTTACAGTGAAGTACCAGTAGCAGTAAGGTTAATAGCTGCAGTAGCAGTTTAAACGAAAATATTAGTACCAAAAATTGTTGTAGCAGCAGCAGTAGTATGAGTAGCAATAATGTTAGTAGTAGCAGTAGTAGTAGCAGTAGCAGCAGCAGTTATAATGGTGTTACGTTAAAAGAGAATATTTGCTAGCAATGCATGTTGATAAGATTTTATTTGCACCGATGTGTGTCATGACTTCCTATATAAATGTTTTTACGACCGAACCCTATTTTTATTAGACATTGCAGCACATACACACACCACACACATGCGCACACATACACACACACACACATGCGCACACATACACACACACAAACCACACACACAAACAAACACACTCACACACATACACAGACGCCATTCTTTTCCTGTGCGTTTCACGCGTTCTATTGCATCGTTCATCACAAATATTATTTCTTACAATTGTTATTGCAACTATTATTGTTATAATTGTTAATATTATTATCATCAGTAGTAGTAGTAGTAATATTATTAGCAGTTGTAGTAGTAGTAGTAGCAGAAGTAGCAGTAGTAGTAGTAGTAGTAGAAGTAGTAGTAGTAGGAGGAGGAGGAGGAGTAGGAGGAGGAGTGGTGGTGGTGGTAGTTTTGTTAAACTGCAATTAGTCATGTAAAAATCTGCGTAAGAATTTAAAGTATCGAATTTAACAATATTACATTTATTCATTTATGCAGTTAACGAAGGCAGAAGTAATATGCGTGCGTGGTTATGTTAGTACCAGCTGCAGTAATTATCACAGTAGTAACTTGAACATTACGATGATGGTGGTCAAATATTTTCAAAAATTTAAAAAAAAATTAATAAATTTCTCTACAACATGCAGTTTAATTCACAGTATATAAACTTTTATTTTATTTTTTCTAGAATTCTCTCGTTGAAATTTTTCAGCGGTATCATCAACAACAAACACACAGTGCATGTGATTGTCGAGGATCTTTTTGCGATCGAATCTGGTCTCTCCGATAGCAGCGCCAGGAACTTTACCCTTTCAGTAAAACCCAGTCGATAGCTACAGAACAGACTGCTGATACCATTCGAAATGAATAGCATTCTTTTTGCTTCACGCCAATTAAGAAAGATGAATTTAGCGCAATGGCTCATTAATTTTGGGTTTGTGTGTGTTATTAATGTTGCTATCATCATTGTCGTCATCTTCATCATTAACATCTTTTTCATCATCGCTATTATTGACACTGAACTGTTTTCATTAAAAACATGCATTTGGTTTCAAGATAAACTATTTATGATGTATATTTAACGATAATGTTAAAATGTGCATGCGTGCGTGTGTGTGAGTGCGTGCGTGCGTGTGTGTGCGTGCGTGTGTGTGTAGTTTGTAAGCATTGAAAAAAATTCGTCATTGATGTTAACGAAGATGGATGCAGTTCAGCTAGTGGAAAATAATATTTAATACATTAGAACAAACTTTATTTTCTAATTTTTGTGCCTATTTCAACAAAATTAAAATTTAAAATTTAGCTTATCAACAGTTATTTCAATGTATTTTAATTTTCTTTTCAAAGCAATCAAAATAAAAGATATGAAGTGCAATAAAATTCTGCCGTCCCCCTTCCGATATAATGGCGCTGATGCAAATGTATTGCAGAGAGAGAGAGAGAGAGAGAGAGAGAGAGAGAGAGAGAGAGAGAGAGAGAGAGAGAGAGAGAGGGAGAGAGAGAGAGAGAGAAAGAGAGAGAGAGAGAGAGAGAGAGAGAGTATTGAAAGTGTTTTTGTATGCATAGGTAGGCCTGGGCGGGATGAACTGGAAGATATAAACGGGACATTTCATCAACATTAAGAGTTTCTTCAGATGTGCAAACAATCAACAATATCAGAGCATAAAACAGAGAAAATTCAGAAGAAATCTAATTTGGCCTTCCATATAAACATCTATCTATTCAGGCACTTCGTTGCTTATACAAAACTTATTTCCTCCTCAAACTTTTTCAGCAAGACGTTTTTAGTGCTCCACGGTGATTCAGTTGCACGTAATGTCGAACATTTAATGATGTCACCAAGTCGTACGTTCCATGCTCCAGTGGCTGCTTCTTAATGCAAGGTTTCCGAATGAAAATTATTTTTTGAATATTAAAATTTTGTCAATTTGAATAGCGCCGAAGCAGTCAGAAAATCTCTAATCCTTATGTCATTTTCCTTATTTTTAGAAATGAAACTCCAACAACAAAAATGTTAACAAGGCATATGTGTTTTCAACAAAAGTTGTGTTAAAGTAATGCCAGCGCCTATTACAAAAGTTCTCACTAGCGCTCTCAAAATTTTTATAGATTTGGAGCATATAAAACAAATCCAAAGAGAGGAAAAAACGGTTTTGTTATAATTATATCAAGCTCAAAAAACAGCAATATATTAAAATGAAAATTAAAACGTCTTTAGATTTTCAGAATTTCTTAAATTCAGCAGCATTCATTCCTGACTTCCTCAGCACAGTCTGTTCCAAACTGCCAAATTCGGAGGTGTGAAAACCCTGGGATAACAAAGAAGTCAGTCCTCTTCTAAATATTTTTTACTATTTTTTTGTATTTTTAGAAGCACCAACAACAAACACACAGCGTATTTAATGAAAATTCACAAAAGAATCAACGCATCGCATACGACAGACGAATTGCACGGGATAGGTGAAGATCATTTCGCGTTCGAACCCCGTGTCTTCAACAGCATAGCTAACCATCTTAACCATTACACCATAGCACAACCGGATTGATTCAGTGTTTTTTGCTTATTCAACTTTTTATTTAAAGTAAATATATTTTTTGAAAAAACTTTTTTGGTACTTCTTTTTTAGCAGTGAACTACGCTTTCATTGATTTGGTGCCTTATTTGGTTGGCAGGAATTTTTATCATTAATACTTTTTTCCTGGTTTTGGGTAGATATAGTGAATTTCGCTACAAAATTTTAAGATATCTAACTATGTATCTTAGATTTTTGAGTTTATATTGGTAGCTTTATCGGCGAAATGTTGCGAGTGATTGATTGATTTGTGAAAAAATGTTCCGAAAAACAAGTTGTTAATTATATTTTTATTCAACCATAAAGTTGATCTATCTAACTGTTCGTCTGTCTGGTTGTACTTGTCTCTCTGTCTGTCTGTCTTACTGTCTTGTTAGTCTTACTATCTGCCTGTCCATCTGTATGTGTATATATCTCTGTATCTACCGAGTATTATAAATGATATTTTTTTGATTTTATGAATTGTTACAAATTAAATTATTAATAATCCCGAGTTATTTTATTTTATTCCAAACGAAAGCTATGACAAAAGTTACTACAACGAAATAATAAAAGTATTGATTTATTCTCAGCTTTTTTAGGTTTTAATTATTTCATCTCATGTAGTTTCTGAAAAAAACGAGGTTTGCGTTTTGAATATTTCATTTCATCATCTAACAGAAATTAATAAAAGGGTGAAAAGTGTTTTCACCCTTTTAAAAATACCTGTTAACAGAAAATACCAAAATCAAATGTAAGAATAATACTAACATGTGAGTTATAATAATTCTAAGTAGTAGTAAACAAGCCAATATTAGAACATTCTAGGCATACAAAAATTGTTTTGAAGTTGTAAAATTAGGTATAAACATTAAAGATGCTAGTCAAAATAAGTAGTAGTACATTATTTATGATTCTGTAAACAACGCGTTACTTTATTCAGTATACAAAATCAACCTTGAAACAAAATTTTATATTTGAATTTTCATTTAAAAATATATCACCGGTGCAAATAAGTACTCAATTTTAAACAAATTTGGAAATTTATTTTAAAATATATAAAAATTTGACGTTAAATATAATTGTACTTATTTTTTAATGGTTAAATTGTTTGCACGATTTAGACCACATAAAATTAAAATTTTAAACTGAAAAATTGAAAATATTCAAATTTATTGATTTTTTGTTCCAAAAATATTCAAAATATTTTTATTTTAATATAAGCAATCAAAAAGAACATTGTAATGTAAGTTTTGTTACATTGTAAAGTCTTTCAGCCTTGTTACTCTGAGAAGTTTGCCCTGGCCGGTTTGAACTGATAGGAGGCAGCCCAGTAAGCAAACACGCCCATCAACGTCAGGACGACTGCTGCGAAAACACCAATGAACGCAAACAAGACGTTTCTCTCTCCTGAAACTAAAAACGAAGCATGAATTTGTGATTACTAATATTCTTTAAGCAATATCTACAGCAACACTCTTGCTGGCAAAACTTTCTGGTAGTTAATTGAGAGATTTTAACAAGTTCGCACATTTTACATGAGTTATCAAACAAATTCTTTGCTCTAGCCAAAAACACCTCGACAACGTTTTGCCATCAAAAAATGTTTTAATGATCGTTATTTTAAATTAATAATTCGATATTTCAAACAAAATACTTGCTCTATCTACCTTCACAATTCCACTGATCTTTATTAACGTAACCACTGAAGCAGGCACAACTGAACGTCCCCACGTTGTTCACGCACGTCGAGATGGCTGTGTTGCATGCGTTTGCGTTTTTCACGCATTCGTTTATGTCTGAAATGAGTAGTATATATTAGCAAGTTTGCTTAATTAGCAAATCAAATAGATGTCATCTTTACTCAGTTAACAAATCATACAGATGTCATTTTAGCTCAGTCAGCAAATCAAATGGTTAGCAAGTGAGGGGATTGAGTGAAATGTTCTGAGTTGTCGTCAGAGCGCCCATACAAATAAAAATTATTAGATTGAAATTAAGTTTAAGGAAATTAATAACTCCATAACAATTCACTTAACTTTTTCACCATAAAAGTCTGGCAACAAATTTGAAAGTGGCAAAACTGATGTACGTAAGAAAGAACGAAATGCTGAAACTAATGAGACAGAAGCACGACTATTAAGTTAGAATTACTAATATATTCCTTCACAGTTCCAACCTTCACAAATCCATTGGCCCTTGTTCTGAAAGCCACTGAAGCACGAGCAGTTGTACGACCCAATCTGGTTGACGCAGGTTGATGTTTGAGGATCACAAGGACTCGTCTTGTCCAAGCATTCGTTTATATCTGTAGTTTAATGCTGCTGTATTCAGGATATCCAAACGTTTTTGGTTTGAAATTTTATAACATTACTAACCCGAGCAGATGTTGTTGAACCTCTGGAAGCCAGATGAACACTGACAAGCGAAGGAACCAGCGGTGTTGATACAAGTTTCAGTGGGACTCGAGCAGTTGTGCTGGTTCAGTGCACATTCGTCAATGTCTGCAAAGGTATATCATCCAATTGTTAGATATGGCTTTGGCAAAAAACCTCGGTTTTGTAAGTTACAAGAAAGTTTGTCTTTAAAAGTTCAACCCAATACAACCTTCACACGTCCATTGATCTTTGTTGAAAAATCCATCCAGACACGTGCAGTTGTATGTGTCAATCATGTTAAAGCAGGTTGAAGTTGCAATGTTACATGCGCTGCTTGTTTCCACCTTGCATTCGTTTATATCTGCCATCATTTTTATCAATTTCATTTCATAGGGACTTTTAAAATTTATCAACATTTTTTAGTTTTTGAAACATTTCGATATTATTTTACAAAAGGAAACATAGTGAATGTATTTTAAAAACAACCTATGCAAGAACTTTCTCAAAACCGGGCAAACATTGGCAAACAAATGAACCGAACGTGTTCACGCAGGTTTCAGTTGAGTTGGTGCAGTTGTGTTTGTTGCGTGCACATTCGTCGATGTCTGGATGTTTTTCAAGTGTTTTGGAAAAAGTTTTATTCAATACGCACCTTTAAATTTAACGGCAGAGAAAAAAAAATTGTTTGGCTCAATTAAATTTTTACAAGTACCATGTAAGAATTAAATTAGTACATCCATACAAGACAAGAGCGTCTTTGGTTTGATTTTTGTTCATACACGTACCAAAGAAACTCTACTTGCTATGAAAATTTAAATGAAATATAGATATAAACTCATATAGATGTTTATATAGTGTAAATTGAAAACGCCAGTACCTTCACAGGTCCATGGGTTCTTGGCATAGAATCCACTCAAACATTTACAACTGTACGTTCCCACTCTGTTCACACATGTTGTCGTTTCATTGTCGCATGCATTCGGGTTGTACAAACATTCGTCTATGTCTAAGAAAAATTTGTTTTTAGATAATCGCTTAAAAAAAATTTTTGAAGAGGTGAAGTACAAAACGTTATCTGAACAGTCATTGTTAACTTGCACGTAACCGGATGGACATATGCAGATGAACGAACCGTACGTGTTCAAACATGTTGACAGCGGTTTTGTGCAGTTGTTTTTATTTTCAAAACATTCATCGATATCTGAGTTTTTAAAAATAATAAAAATGTACAACAGTAAAACTTCGATCAAACTCCTCCTCACCTTTACAAGTTTATTTATCTTTATTATTGAAGCCATTCAAACAAGTGCAGTTGTACGTTCCAGGACTGTTCACACAAACTGATGTTGCGCTGTCACATAAGTTTGAACTGTTCGCACATTCGTTGATGTCTACAAATTGACATTGCCAGATGAGTTACTGACAATAATTTTTTGATTTAGAAGATACTGAAATAATTTAGTGCTACCTTCACAAACACTAGCCGCAGATAGCATGTAACCAGGAGAGCATGGACATTTCTTACTGCCATCAGTGTTGACGCACGTTTCAGATGGTGTTCTGCAGGGGTTCGTGCTTGCCGCGCATTTGTCAATGTCTGGACAATTCAACGGTCGCACATTAATTACAGTGCTCTAGTCAAAATATAGAAGTTGCATCCTCACCGTAGCAGAAGGTGTTGTTGTCGGCAGGATGCTGGTAACCGGATTTGCAATTGCACGAATAATCAGTTGATCCAGCGACGCATATAGAATTCGTCGTATTGCATGTCAGGACAAACTGAACATACATTTGGAACTAGAACAAAGTATCAAAATTTTAAATTAATTTTAAATTATTTTTTATCAAAGTTTTATAACATCAATACAAATTCACCTAAAACGCAATCATCGTTGTAAAATGATTTGGTGTATCCAAGCCTACAAACACATTCCGTGTAAGTGGTTGTCCCAATTTGAAAGGAAGAACATGGGTGGATTCCACATCCGCCATTGTTCGTTTGGCAGTCTTTTGATGTTTGTTAATTTTCATATTATACAAATTTTAATATTCCATATTTGATCGCATAGAATTTTAAATTTCATGAACTTCACAAGTCTTATATCGACAACTCAACCTCTCTTATCGCAAGCTCCGCCAGTCCATCCTGGCTGGCAACTGTGAGACTGACAAGTCATGTCCGGAGTAAAATTGTTTCCAGTGCTGCAGTGATAAACTCCGGTGCAGTGTTTTGACGTGCTAAGCTTGCTGCACACTAAATAATGTTTCAGTGAATCTATCGAATTGGAGCAAATTTTTTAAAATAAAATGACTACCTGAATAAATGCTTTTCTTCCCTGAACCACCACATTCTTCGTTTGTATTTCCAGCACAATTGGTATTACATGCACTGTCAGAATCTTTTCCATAAGCTCCGTATGAGTTCCCACATTTGCATGTATCACCCCGCTGTTTCCGTGTGCAATCAGTTTACATGCAAAATATTTAGAATTCTCAGTAAATTGAACAAAACCTGTAAGCCAGCGTAGTCGTAGTTGCGACTCAAGCAGTAAGTTATGCATGTTTCAATTGTCCTCGATGGAATGGACTCGTAATCAGCAGAGAGATCAAGAGAGCCATCGATGAAGCATCCCAAATATCCAACATTCAGTGGGGCTGTACGGTTGAATTGTGTATCAGGAGTACGTCATTGAATGAATTATTTATTTCAAATTTTAATAAAAAACATTTCACTTGACTAAACTGCTTTCATCTTAGTTTCGACATCCAATTTTGGGGTGCACATAGAGTATGGAAAGAGGTCTGTTGGAGAAACACCGCAGAAGCATTGGCTATCCTGATAAAAATATTTCAGATTGTTAAAAGTGTCTTTTGATGTTTTACAATTGATTATTTTACCTTAACTGAGGCATATGGGACGTTCATTTGCCTGCAAATGTAGATGCACGTGTCCAGCGACGACTCTTGGTATGTCAGTTTTATTTGAAAGTTTCTAAAACAACCGACATACTTGTCAGCGTTGTTTTCTGAAATTATTTTCCACATTACACGATAGAAATTTTTATTAAAAAAAATATTCCACTTGAGCCATGAACCTCGAGTTCCGAAAATTTCATACCACCGTCGTATGCTTGACTTGCTTCTTGCTGAACGATGACGTATCTGAAATAACTCGTCCTGTCATTGCAATCAACTCGCATTGGCTGAGCATCTATCGTATAACTTGGTGGTCCGTAGCCGCAAACAGAATAACGGCCTCTCAAGTAAGTTGGATATGTCGGATTGACCGAGCTTAATTGACCAACGACAAAATTGTTCATGAGCGTATCTTGGAATAATGCAAATTAAAATTTATTTTGATGAAATATATCAGTAGCTTTAAATTATTTTCTAGCTAACCAGTGGCCTTAGCATGCAAAGTGACATAAACGATTTGATACGGGCGTGCTAGATCAACTATAAACCAATCATATTCATGCGACATATTCATATATGGCCCGTACACTTCAGAGCCTAAAGAGCAAAAACTCGTTGTGTTGCCATCGACGCAATTGCTCGCAGAAACTTGCTCAGTACTCAAGTAAGCTTTCTTTTTGTAAGCCACGTTTTCGTATTGCGGAAACACATCTTCAAATGTTACATTTGACAAGTTAGTTATATAAAATAATTCATTGTTGAGTATTATATATATATTTGAACGGTAATAATATGTAATTGGAAAGTGCACCGCCTGGCTGCAGTGGTCGGTTCCAAGGCAGAGTCACGTGTGTTTTTGATTGTTATAATCTAACGTAAAGGATATTTCACATTAGGAATTGTGTGCGGTGGCTGGGTTGATTTGGAATGTCGCCACCCATCATAACCACGTGTGTTGAATTATTAAAGTTTAAAACAACCGAATTAAATGAGAAATTAATTTTAAAGTACATGGATTCGTTCATGCATTTGTTTTATTTTTATTCATCGTTAACAGGATTAATTGATCATTTATTCGAAATGCTAAAAAAGTTAACCGTTGGCATAAACCATCAGCTCTCCAAGCTGCAAACTGCTACTTGCTCCGTTATTTTCTACTTCAAGCGATTGTTGTATAATAATGAATCTAGAAAATTTTGTACCGTCTTCACAAATGACACTCATCTGGGTGTCAGCTGCTGTTACAGGAGCAGGCCACCAGCCACACTGGTCGTAGGTCCCTCTTATTTCTGCTGTACCAGAAGGGTTAAAACTGTTTGTCAGCCCAACATTGAAATAATTCATGTCAGAATCTGTGTGATTGCAGAGTCAAATTAAAAAATTGTTGCATTAAAAATTTAAATTGAACCTACCGCAACTACCACAGCTATGTTCATTGTATAGTATGATGTACTTGACTTGGTATGCATTCACCAAATCAACAACAAACCACTTTGGAGTAGTTTGTGAAGAAAGTGTTTCTGTAGATGTGGTTATATCATTATCGACTCCCAATTTAGCTGAATGGCCAGTTGCTTCGTTGGTCATATATGCTGGTTTTCTTATCGACACATTCACAACGCTAGCTGAATTTTTTAAATTTATAAAGTAATCAAAATTACTGCATGTTTGAAATGTTTCACAGAAAATAAAAATTCAATTTTCTTTTAGGCATTTTCAACACTCCCAATCCACATTTACCGTTTGACAGGACGACAGAATCCAAAATAACCAAAATTATTAAAATATTTAGATTCATGTTGGTATTACTTCTAATAAAAAGACTCCTAGTTAAACTTTCAATGCACTGAAAAAAATTTTCTCAATCCAAACACATAAGATAGCTCCACTCCCTAATAGCTACTCTGAATTAGCGTTAGCTTTGAATAAATCGACAGCACCGCAAAGAAGTGAAGCATGTCAAGCAAGCCACGCCGATCACTGCTCGTTGACTACTTCAAACTGTTTTTAAAGTGGGGATAATATCGTATTGAGTTATGAAATTTTTTTTTTTGTAACTTTCTATTTATAGTGAATTATAAGTGTCAAAAATTTGTAAAAACTTTAAAGAAACTTGCAATTATTTTTAACAAATGTATACAAAGTTAAAAACTCAAAAAATTAGTGTGTTATTTTAAAATTTGATGAACACGACTAAGTGCAAACACTCAGACGTGCTCGCTACCAACTAACTTACACCAACAGTGCTCCATCAGACGCGCTGATGTTTTTATCTCAGCAGGTTGTCATTGTTTCAATGATGAAAATGTATTCATTTTTGTTAAGTCTGGCATTCAATATTGTGAGAAAATATTGAAGTTGATTAAGTGTTTTTTTTTATCAGCAAAGACTGCTTACTAAAACATCACAAATGTTATTAGAGTAATTAGAAAATTTAAACAAATTAAAATTTGTGTTATACAGCAGACGGAAATGTGTAATGACAGATTAAATTGCAAATGAACTATCTCCCTACTTACATACCTACCTAATTCGATGAAAATTATTTCTATTTAGTAAAGTTTTTAACGAAAAAATATAAAATCTTTTAAAAAAATACTAAATTTCCAAATGAATGTAGGTGGTAATAACCATTTATGTCAATGATACAGCACGAAGACAAGGCCAAAACCATCAAAATCTTCAACGCCATGTTCCTCTATTAATATTTCAAAAATAATCTAACGAAAATTACTTGATCAAATTACTTACCTAATTAATTATCAATTAAATAGTTATTATATTAATTAATTTATTTATTAATTTTGTTTCTAAAATAACAAACAAATCATTTATTAAAAGCGACAAAGCGCAAAAAGCCGAGAGGGAGTAATTACGAATTAACCGTTTTAAGTTAAACTGCTTTAGCTAAATATTGTTCATTTGGGTGAAACAGGTATGCATATGTGCGTGTATGTATTTGTATGTGTGTTTTTGTTTGTGTGTGTGTTTGTGTATGTATGTGTGTGTGCATATATGTGCGTGTATATACTGTACACGCACACATATACATGCACGCACTCAAGCATGTATTTTGGATAAATAATTCAGATTTTATTAAAGTTAATGTGTTGTTAGATGGTCACTTAGCTACTGGATGCCGTAGGTAGGGGGATGTGCTTGCAACTTATCCAACGAAGCGTGTCGAATTCATTTTTTTAATTTATGAAATTTGTTTAACCTTTGTGAATAATATTTGAAATTATTAAACTGCAACACATAATTTTATCAATTAATTTATGTGTATGTAAATATGCTGTGCCGCGTTTGTCAAAATTATTTTTATTTATCATGTTGATCCACACACAAACACCAAAACACACACACACAGACACACACACAGACACACACACACACAGATATAATAAAATACACAGGTAGCTACATATTAAACACGAACATAATTGCGCAGATACACATACACACACAAACACACATTACCCAATTTTGATGTATGTAACAAGCTGATTGTTCGTTTTATAGAACAGCCAAAAACAATGACGGTTGAACAATAACGTTCAATTGTGTATACAATTAATTATTAAATTAATTTTATTTAATAATTAATTAATTAATTTAATTATTTTTTAACATGTAGTTACCTGAGTATCATATTATATCTTTGTGTGTTTTTGTGTGTTTGTGTGCATGTGTGTGTGCATGTGTGTGTGTGTATGTGTTTTGGTGTTGGTGTTTTGTGATGAATCCACCATAGATTTATTATTTGTTGAAACCTGGTAAACTTGAAAAATATTTAAATGTTTCTACAAATATAAATTAAAGTTTAATATTTTAATATTTGACGAAAGAAACTTTAGAAATGGCATTTTAAAAATGTACATTTAAAATTCACGGCTGCATAACATGGGTAAATTAAGTAACGCAGCCCAAAGCCAAATATAATCTGTATGAGTTAATTCTATTTAATGTAGCCGTAGACCATCATTGTCTAGCTAACTACATAATTTTTCAATAATTAGTTTGTTGGTTCTAATATATATAACAGTTGCGTGATAAATAAACAAATAAATAAAATAAATAAATATAACTCCATGCTTTCTTACTCTCTTTTTCTCTTTCTCTCCCTTTCTCTCTCTCTCTCTCTCTTTAACGTCTCTCTTTTTCTCTTTCTCTTCTTCTCTCTTTCTCTCTCTCTCCCTTTGAATGTTTAATTATGTATTTATCATTCATCTCTTTATCTCTTTTCTTTCTTCTATCAATCTCTTATACTTTTTACAAGTTTTTACTTTATGTCCATTTACCATTTCTTTCTTTTTCTCTATTCATTTTCATCTCTACTCTATCAGTATCTCTCTCTCTCTCTCTCTCTCTCTCTCTCTCTCTCTCTCTCTCTCTCTCTCTCTCTCATTCTCTTCCTCTCTCTCTTTAAACATAGTTGTATTTTTTGATGTTTCCGTTCACAAATTAAATCGTCTATGTATATTGTATATGTCTTCGCGCGCGCGTGAGTGCGTATGTGTGTATGCGTGTGTGTGTATGTGTGTATGCGTAAGTGCGTAAGTGTGTATGCGTGTGTGTGTGTGTGTGTGTTTGCGTGTGTGTGTGTTCCTGTTACAAGGAATCAAGGACCCTGACCTTAAAAGCTGTTGTAAAGAAGCTTCTATTGAAAATTAGATGTTATTGTTTATCATCAGCCTTCGTGTGTCAAACTTTATTAGTATTCATTAATTATCAATATATGTACTTTTGTATCTCTAGGTATCTGTGTGAGATTGTATCATACATGTAGTTTGTGCTTGCGTGTGCGTGTGTGCTCGTGCGTTCGCGCGTGCGTGTGTGTGTGTTCGACACACTCGCGCTGATGAGTTTAAACAATAACCGCTACCTTAATTCAATACAAGCCTCTCTGTAACAGTTTAGGAGTGTAATAGCCATAATAGGCACGACTAAGTTCAACTAACTTTTCATTAGTATATGGATTAAATTAAAAAACATTTTCAACGAACTACTCAATAATTTTAATAAGTTGTATCAATTTATATTTGTGTGTTTGTTTTTTGCTGTTGTAGAATTATTTTGATTAAATTTTGTGTATTTCATCATTAAATTTCATGTTTATATCAATTTCACACATACGCATCATTAGATTTATTTAACTTTTGATAAAATAGAAATCGAATAATATTTTTTTCGACTTCACTAACAAGTCTTTCATTCGACTTAATCTTAATCAAAGTAGGAACCGTTAACTTTGGAGAATGAGATTTTCCACCCAATTGTTTGTTAAGCACCGCACGGCCAAAAAGTTTGAGAACACTTAACCGAAAATTTAACGTAAACTAATGGCACCGAAGGGGAATTAAACTATTTGAAAGTGTTAAAAAATGCCATATACGTTATAAAATAAAGTTTATAACACACACACAAATAATTTTATAAGATATACTGTTATAAGTGATCTGAAAATTAAAGTTTAACGAACTAAATATAAAATATTTTGTTTAAAAAATGCTTTTACATGCGATACCTCCAATAGTTACTCAAAAATATCTGAACCCGATCATCATATTGTATATGTATGTTTAATGTATTAAAAGCATATATATATATATATATATATATATATATATATATATATATATATATATGAACCTATATGCAATGTTTATGTTTATATAAGATGAGGCGAGTGACTCGAGCGCCTTACTGGATGCTTTCCATGCATTCATTCGACTGTTGGTCCGATTATTATACGAATCCAATTGTTGGTCCGGTTCGAATCAGATTTTATTTAAATCGATTAAATTCGGACCTTCCTTGAGGTCTGTTAGTTGTTGTTTGAAATTTCAGATAGTTTTTCATTTAGTTGAGCTCTTTGATAAACCGACTCCAAGCATTATCGTCGAGATCATGGGATTACAGTAATGAAATGGAGAAATTAGTTTCAGTTTGGTTTTGTTTTAATGATGCTGCAAGTATTTTTAATTACAAAACTTTTAATATATATGTTTCTAATATTTAAAAAAGTGAAGTTTTTTGGATATATTTAAAAAAATGTAATCCACATTAAAATGTTGTTTGCATAACATTTAATGGCGTTGGATGAACATTTTCTAACTTGAACAACTAAAACCCACAAACAATACTTCTTCTGATTGGACCAATTCTCTTAAACAACGTGTTTGTTGAATTTTGTTAAGTACAAAACATGCCGAAAGAATACAACAAAAGCATCATGGTGATCGTCGTCTTCCTGGCTATCGCCAACATGTTCGGTCAGTCACATCGCTTGCAGATTATTATTATTAATATTATCATCATCATCATCATCATCATCATTATTATTATTATTGTTATTGTTGTTGTTGTTGTTGTTATTGTTAAACTATTTTTAAAATATACTTCTTACTCCTATGCACTTGCCTTTGGCAAGGAGCATTGGAGGATCGTGCATAACAATATTAACAATTTATTACTATATTAACAATTTATTTTATTCCATTTTATTTTATTTTATTTCATTTTATCTATTTTGATTTGATTTTATGTCTTCTGCAATAATAAAAGAGTTAAAAAAAATCAATCATCGTCGTCGTTAAATCGTTTACATGTGATTGAGGTTCAGCTTCACGAAGCTCTTGCTTCATATTAACGAAATCATGCAAAGTGTAGGCAAGAAATAAAAATGTTTAGCCGCGTTTTAGTGTTTTAATTTCAGTATACCGCTAAACAAGCCACTATAAAATAACCAAATTACACTACAACTATCAAAATAGAGTTGAAAGATAACTACAAAAAAAAATTGAAAACAAAATCAATTAGATTAAAATATATCACGGAGAATCTTGAATCAAATATTACACAAACCCTTAAAACGCGCAACAGACAAATGTGGAGGCCAAAAAAACACACACATTCCAATAGAAATTAGCCCGATAGTAAGTCGAAAAGTTATTGTAGGGTGTTGCATGGTGCAATCGTAAATTAACGACAGGTGATGTTTTTTCACTAAAGAATGCATGCGGCAGCAGACTTTCAAGAAATTGCATTCCATCTTTATGGATACAAGAGGAACGTGGAATGAGAAACATTTACGTTGCTAGGCCAGTCTTGCTGCTGCTTCTGGTTGCAACTTTCACATCCGTTGCCAAAGTAAATTGTTTGGGACCAGAAATGTTTAAATAAATAATAAATAGATCATTTCAATTTTTGTTTTCATTAATTAATTCACAAATATATTATATATATATGTGTTATCAATTTATATATAATTAATTTTATGATTATTTTTACAAATTGAATGAGTGATTAGACACATGGGGTTCGATTTGAATGGTTAAAATTTTTTTTTTTTATAGAAGTTACTGTTTTTGGAACAAAAATATAGAAAAAGGTGTTGATATAACGATAGAGATATTTAAATGCGAGTAATGATAGAGAAAAATGATGACAACATCATCGTCATCAACAAATATCGTCAACCTTATCAGTATGATGATGATGATGATGATGATGATGATGATGATGATGATGATGATGATGACAATGATGATGAGGATGAGGAGGATGATGATGATAAAAATAATAGCAATGACAATACGCCGCATGCCATAAAAATAAAAATTCTTCTCGTAAACAAGTCAATACGAGTCATCATCATCATCGTCATCTTCTTTCTTTTTTCTATTTCTA